TTTTGAAATTTAAAAATTAAATAAATTATAATCTATACTTAAAGATTATTGCTTGCACTTTGCAGTGTGACATAATTAAGAAAATGTAGTGTGTGTCCATGAACATGTATTAAAAATTCAAAATCCAAATGTTTGACGTACGATCGACGCTATAATGAAATTAGCTTAACGTCAGACTGGTCCGTGCACACTATCCGCGGCCTTTAAAGACTCCGATTTTTACAAAAATATAAAGTTCCATCAATAAAATTTAAATCTTTCTGCTTTGTTTTTTCATGAGAAATATTTTTGATATACATTAGATATATACAGAACCATTTACTTTGACAATAACGGCAGTGTGCACGAACTTTTTGGACAATCCTCGTATTTTATAGTATTCTTTATGTTAAGCCTTTAAAAATATCAAGAACCTGAACTGGAATTTATCATGGGGAATGGTTGTATATAAAGTTCAAAAGTCGTACATTTTTATGTTGTTGATTTTGCTACCAGGTATTATATTGTGATTTCAAATATTCCAAAAGTTCCTTGAATTGAAAAGTATCCACACTGATTTACATCATCTTATCAAATATTTATTGTTATACCCTTATAAATAGCTTTCTATATATTTATTACTAATAAAAAGTCGAACAAAAAAGATGTTTATTACATCGGTCTGCCGGTCCAACATAAGAATTGTTATACCGCAACGTCATTGCTACGTCACAAGTAATTAATTATCGTTCAATATCGGCCACACGGAAATATCCGAAGTTAAGAGCTGCAAGAATTGTTGCTACCAGCAAGGTACGGAAGAAGAGAAGAGTATCTTTTGTGATAAATAATTTTTGTGATATAATAAAAATATAATTTATTTTGCTCTTTCTCAGCTATTGTTTTATATTTACTGAATAATCCATAATTTTCCATATAAAGTAATTGATAATATAAACCAGCACTGAAGGGTATAACAAAACAGTTATAGACTGCGGCCTCGGGCAACATTTTCACCTTCAGGTCCAACAAATCTTATGTTGCCCTCATACCCAGTCAATAACTGTATATTGTTGCATAGTACTTTGAAGTTTGTCCTTCAATTCTGTTAATATTATAACTAAGACTAAGGAAAGAGGCTTGGTAGAAGATTTACTGGAACTCGTCGTTGGGAATATTCAAAACTTACATACGATTCTGACTCAGAGTAAGATATGAATATCTCAATTTTAGAAGAGCCCCTTCCTCTGTTTATCACAACTATGTACAGGTTAACTTCGGTATCTCGGCATCGGATATGTCGACATCCTGGGATAAGTCGACAATTATTACGACTGCTAACGAAAAAACATATTTGCATTATCAGTATATAATCAGAACCCCTACTAAACCATTGACCCAGGGACCATGAACATTGCATCTTTTCCTCAGAAACCCTTGCTAATTATCTGCTAAATACCCATGGGCAGAATGGATTGCTTTCAAAGAAATTCATACTTTCAAAGTACATGTAAATATATGGGGGTCATTACTTTCACAATTTTGGAAGAGGCTTTCTTAAACAATATACCTATATCAGAGCTGTCTAATTAAAATTATGAACCTTTGACTTTGTAGCCATGAATTGCACAATTTCTATAGAGACTAAATACTTACCCGGTATTACAATTATACTGAAATCTTGTTAAGTAATGCAGACAATAGTCATAGATTGCATTAATATTGATGATTTAAGAACACTCCACCACAGGTCTCAAAGGGGGTGTGGATAAATTTCAAAAATTATAAACCACTCTCTGCGTAGATTATATTGCACAATTGACGATTTCAGAGAAGAAAAAGAAAGTGTACAAATGTAATGTTGCACTTCGATAGCTAGAATCACCTACCCGAATGACTCGGTTAATCTAAAAAGACTAAAGGTACCTTAGGTAATCAAAAAATTACGTTCGTCTTAAACTTTATTCAAGACTACTGTTGATTTACTTTTTTGTGACCTATACATAATAATAGACCAGCTTTAAAAAGAACGCATTCAACAGTTCAAAGAGAGTTAACTGTGTTAAAGTTTTGCACAAATTAATTAACATAAAGTTCCTTGCTAATCTCTCATACATTCAAAAGGAAATACCACCCCTCCCAACAAAATAGGTTTGTGTGAAGAAAATGTTAACTTTCTGAGGAAATTTTATTTTATCCTTTTTTGTTTACTTGATAAAATATTATTTTCCAATCCGATACTTTAAATCATTTGGAATATCCCTGGAAAAATCCTCGGAACCGCCAATGAGAAACTTAAAACAATGAAATGCAAAACTAAATAACTTGAAAAAAAATTATATGTTCATTCTAAAGGCCCTGTTTTAAAACATGAATATGTGTACGACAAATGAACTTTCCTGTTCAGATATTAAATTATTTACATGTAACAGAGTTCTGCTACAGTCAGAAATTAAATTTGACAAATGTCGACGTTATCTGTAAGTAAATGATTTAGTATAACATGATGTTTAAATCGAATCAATATCCGTAGTATACGGTATCTAAAATCGAATTCTAAAAGATCTAGGTTTTAATGGTGATAAAAAGGTTATAGAAAATTTTCAACTGCTATCTGACAAGGAAGAAAAGATAACAGCTAGAAATATTACACCGGGTAAAACATATAAACTTTTGGGATGTATTTATCAACACGACGAAATGTTTTACAGAAGAATGAGTTCTGAGTGTTTTTCATAAATATGTTGAACTTTACCAGGGATTTACATTGACATTGTAAGATGTAAGAAATCTATTAATAACGGTATATCTTTGTTTTCAACTGACATAAAAAATAACGAAATGTTTAAAGTATAATTTTAAATAAAGTTTTTTGATCTCTAATATTATAATAGTACCGGTAAAAACAATTTTTTTGCTGTCTCAACATGTGATCGAAGACAATAAAAAATCAAACTAATTAATTTTTAAGTCTGTCGTCGTCATCGCCGTAAACTTTTTCACATTTTCATCTTCTTCTCAATAACCAGTGGGCCAATCTCAATCAAACTTCAAACTTGCCACAGAGTAACCTTGGGTAAAGGGGAACTTTTTTTAATGAAGGGCTATGATCTCTTCAAAGGGTAGATAATTATGAATTAGCTAAAAATTAATGGCATCTTATAAAAATATTCTTAACAAGAACCACTGGGCGAGGAAAGATGAAACTCATATGGAAGCATCCTCAGGTAGTGTAAATTCCAGTTTGTTCAAATCATGACCTCCGGGGGTAGGGTGGGTCCACAATGGATAATCAAAGTTTTTCATAGACATATAATAGGAAAATCTTCGTCTCAAGAACCACTTGGCCAGGGAAGATAAAACTCATGTTGAATCATCAATCTAATTAAAATTAGATGTTAGATCCGCTCGCATTCTCTCTACACTAGATAAAGTAAACTCAGGTGGAATCATTCTCGGGTGGTGTAGATTCAAGTTTGGGGAAATCATGACCCCCAGGGGTAGGGTGGGGTCACAATGGACGATCAAAGTTTTACATAGGATTTATTGATATGATAATTAATGTTTTACGCCGAATCAGCAATATTTCAGTCATACATCGGCGATAAAAAGTAACATCATGTAGCCAGAGTTTTAAGTTCTGGGTGTCTCTGACGGCCCCCAATGGGCCAACTCTTTTTTTTCGAAAATCAGAGAAACGATCTTTTCAGTGTCAAAGAGGCTGTGATCCTTGACATGGGGCACCATTTTATGTACCATCTGACGGACCTCAAAATTAAAAATCTAAAGAAACCCTAAAATTAATAATCACAAAAGATTTCATTAATATATATTAATTCAAATCTAGCTATAAAAATCAGTTGCTTCCAAGTTCTTCAATATTATAAATAGATTCGTATTTTGAAAAAGGCCATGCATAGTATGCATATTATTAAACAGTCTTCTATACGTATGGGCGAAAAGTCAGAACATTCTAATAGTAGACATGTATGCTGTACAGTTATTACACGGCACATGAGATGCATTCGGGTTGTTGTTGTTCCTTGTTGAGTAAATATGAATAAGTAAACCTTGAATATCTAATACGAATTCTTAATATAATGACTTCATCTGCTGAATTATATAGGAATACATGTATATAGAAAAAAATCTTTTAAAAACTCTTCTCAAGAACAGCAAAGAAATGATTGGATATATTTTATATTGGAAACTTCCCCAGGTAGTGTAAATTCAAGTTTGTTTATATCATGACCCCTTGGGGTAGGGTGGGGCCATTAATAGAAATCAAAGTTTTACATAAAATATATAGGGAAAATCTTTAAAAAATCTTCTTCTCAAGAGCAGCAAAGCCAAGGTTGGTCATATTTATATGGAAGCATCCTCAGGTGGTATAGATTCAAGTTTGTTAAAATCAGAACTTCTGGGGTGGGGACACAAGTGAGATCATTTTTTAATAGAAATATACATGTAAACTAAAATATTGTTAAAAATTATCAGGAGAACAGCAAATCCACATAAGTGATTATATGATTACGATTGCGAAATAATGGAAGCATCCTCAGGTGGTTTAGATTCAGGTTTGCTCAAATCATGATCCCCCGGGGTTAGGGTGTGGTCACAATGAGGGATCAAAGCTTTACATAAGAATATATAGGAAACATTCCTCTCCAGACCAGAAAAGATGTTTCGTCAAATTGACATGTAAGCATCGCATGTAGTCAATTTTTTCATATCTTGAACCGAGGGGGGTGGGGGATGGGGGTTAGGGATAGGGCGCAATGGGAGATCAATTTTTTACAAAGCAATATGTAGGAAACTATCTTCAAAAATCTTCTTTTCAAGTTACTCATAAATGTTATACAGTATAGATATGGTGGCATCCTCAAGTAAAATAAATCCCCCATCCCTGTAAACTTTCCAATTTTAAGCTGATTTGTGTTTTTACTTAGCCCACGTGCTCAGGTAAACGATGTGACCTATTGGCCTCTTGTTTTAAAATAATTTTTTTTAAAGTAACGCCTATGGAGAGAAGTGCACAGGAGGCTGTTCCAAGAGTTGGTGCGCCTTCAAGGGAGAAATTTCAAGTGCGGTTTCTTCTGAATAAAATCCTTATCGTCTACAAAGACAAGCAATATGTAAAGAAGAAGAGCATTATTGAACTGGGTACGAAGTTCTTGGAGAATGGTGTTCTAAATATTGACCCTTTAGAATGGGATTTCCTGAAAAGCAAACCTAGAATAGAAATTTTCTCTAAATTACTCAACGACCGTTCCAGTGTTCACGATACTTTTAAGACAAGAGATGTTTGCATGGATTGGGTTTACGGAATAACCCCGATGGGTATGTATGCAAAATTCTAAATGAATTAAAATCGGTGTTCTGTTCATGTATAGATGATAAATGTAATGAAGTGTCAAATAGAACATTGAACTTGTGTTTTAGGTTACCAGAGTAAATTTAGGTGACCTATTGGTATCCGTTTTCGTCCGTCGTCGTACGGTGCGCGTCGTTCATCGCGTTAACATTTGAACATTTTCAGCTTTTTATCTGCAACTGCTCGACCAGTTTCAACCAATTTTGGCATAAAGCATCAAACAAAAATTGTGAATTTCATGGTCCCTGTCCCCTGGGGCCTGAGGGGTGGGGCAAAAATCACTAAAATTAATGCGATCATCAAAAATCTTTTTTACTACTGAAAATCAAGCTGTCGAACTATTGGCATGATTGTAATAAGCCTTGAGTCCTCTATCAAAATTATGAAAATCGTGGTGAGGAAGGGTGCCTCTTAAATTTCATGGCGCCAGGGTAGGGGTTCTTGTGTTCGAGTGGGGCTTTTGATTATATAGTATATATGCCTTTTTCGAAACTCATCTTCTCTGCTCCTGGGTATTAAACAAATTAATTAAAAACATAGTTATGTCGAGGAAGGTTTTCCCTCTCAAAAATAAATTGTGAATTTCATGGCCCTAGGGTCAGGAATTCTAGTTCTAAATGTGTGGCTCCAGGGTCTTGGGTTACTGTGGGCTAGGGGCACAACTAATTGTTGCTGAACATAACTGAATACTGAAATTAATTTTTTGTGCCTTTACTCTGTCCATGGATATTAAGTAACCAACCTAAGCATGCTAAATGTATAGTTATGATGAACAATGGTGCCTCTTTCAAAATTGCGAATGTCATTGCCCCTGGTTTGAAACCAAATTTAATGGTTAGAAAGTTGTTGCATGATGCTCAGGTGATGCCCCTGGTTTGAAACCAAATTTAATGGTTAGAAAGTTGTTGCATGATGCTCAGGTGATGCCCCTGGTTTGAAACCAAATTTAATGGTTAGAAAGTTGTTGCATGATGCTCAGGTGACATATAAGGCCTATGGGCCTCTTGTATGTAAACTTTAGCAATCCTCTGTCGCCAAAGTCTAGCTATAGGTCAATCAAAATACAATTAACATAGCATCAAACTTAATCAAGGAGAACCAACATTAACAAAAGATGTTTTTTTTAAATAAATCATTGTATATCATACGAGAAGAATAAGGCAAAGAAATAGTATATATTTGCTATGTAAGTACATGTACATATCTGAATCAATGTAAAGAGATGATCTTTGGTGCTAACTTTTTCTTATTTACTTTTAGATTACATGGATTTTCTAGAAGAAGAGATTAAATTTGTGCTAAGTAGTCTTTGTGATACAAAGTCAGCTTATCGAGTGTCTGAAAAATGGTGTCAGGAAAATATTTTTAAAACCGAGGACAATCCAGACGTTAAGGAAACAATATGTAAAGCAGTGGGCTGGACGGACAAAAAATCCTTAGTATCTGATTTAAAATATGAATTGGAAACGGCAAGTAAATTTATATTTTTTAAAAATAACGAGATTTCCATAGGAGAGAGAGAGGGAGAGAGAGAGAAAGCATATTTCTTCATTACACCTATTTGGATGGAATTTTTTAGAGAGCGGAGGAATATTGGACATTTCAGAAAGATTGGGTGACAGCAACACTAGAAAATTCTGGGGAAGTTATGTGGAATCCACTTTTGTTTGATTTATGTGCCACCAAGTTTAACAAACAAGTATCCGTAATTGCCAACATGACATATAGAGGCAGTAAACACACACCCGCTATATGTGAGTGTCGAGTATATCCAAAGAGAGACCTTCAAAGGGATACTGCAAATCTAACATTTATACGAATGAAATATGAAAAATACGTGTATGCTGTTGAAGGTAACAGACTTTATACTTTTCGATTAGAATTTAATGAATATATATTATCTCTTATTCACGAATATTCAAAATGAGGGAGATACTTTTTGAAGAACAAAAAGAGTCATACTATTGCCCTATTAATCTATAAATACTTTGTCCAGTTAGCGAATATAGATTAGTAAAACGTAATGTGGTTATAACAGGACGATTGTACATTTATTCCAAAGAAAAGAGTTTTTTTTTATCTTTAAGAGAAAAATATATTTTAGATATCCTTACATCGGGAAAGCTAAAGCTTCATAATTTTGAACATACTTTAATGTCATTTTTTTTATTATTCATTTCTGGAAGCTTTTGCATTCACTTCATGGTATACAGTTTATTAACAATCAACCTATTTTACGACGGCTTTATGATGTGTAACAGTTTTAATTTTCAAATGATCGAGCAAGATGCAATTTCTTCCTCACATGTTTAAGGGTGCTTCATAAATACCTCAAGTTATTTTTTCAATATGAGTAAAAAATTGATAATCAACAAGTAAACAAACAAAATGCTAAGACATTCAGATCTTTTTTATTACTGCATTTATTATTCATATACGTAAATCTATTTTTCATTCTCAAACAGAAGTTGCATCAGTCGATTTATCTACACTTCTAGATAAATTGGATAAACATCTTGGAACCAAGGAGGTAACACAGACGGGAAACTATTCTAAAATAGCTCACATATCCGAAGAAGTAAAGGAATACCTTAAACAAATGGAAACAAAGAACTGTAAACTTATTTCCGATTAAATGAGGACGTGCATGGAAGCTTGCAAAAAGTCGTTATCAATAATAACAAAAAGATAGAAGAAAAGGAAGACCTCTTGCGTCAACTGAACTCAAAGTCTCAGAAACAAGTAGATGAGGTCACAGAACTTCAGAAAAATATACAGGAACTGACACTTGAAAACGAAAGATTGAAAAGCACAGAAATAGTATCGCTAGAGAAAGAAATCGAATCTTTAAGACAGAAAAATAGAAAATTAACTACACAGAATACAAACGTCAAATCTAGACTAGAAATGTATGAGAAGGAAATTAAAGAGCAAAGGAAAAAACTAAAAGAACAAGATCGCAGAATAGCCCAACAAGATGACAAAATAGCAAAGCAAGATGAAAAGATAGCGCAACAGGATGATGAAATTAGAGCTCAATGTGATAAAACTAAATATCAAGATGAACGAATTTTAAGCGTAAAATCGGCACAAGTGGTAGTTCTAGCAACATTCGGCATATTGATGTAAAAAGTACATCGTCAGGGTCTATAAAATCTGTAAATCACTACTAGGGACTTTCTTTTTTTTCCATGAAGATTCTTAATTTTTGACAAAATTAACAATTTTAATTTGATGATATATATCAAAACTTGTTTAGTGGGTTATGTCATGTATTTATGCACGATACAATACATTGGCGTCGGAAGCAAATTGAAAGTGGGGGGGGCTTAGTGTAAAAGAAATTTTTTGGTACCACAAAAAAAACCTGACAAGCAAAAAAAAAAAAAAAAAAAAAGGGAAATGTCCATTTCCCATACACGAAAATCCTATTTCGTGGGGGGAGGGGGGGGGGTTCGAAATTCAGTACCAACACTTTTTTTTCAATCAAGAGAAGGGATGTAAAATTGAGATGTATATTTTCGTATTCCAAATGAAAGCGATATGACAATCTGAATGAAATTGAATATTTAATGAGCGATTTCATTTAATTGTGCTATAACGGATTAAGAATCTTATCAATGTTGTTTTTATATTTGAACTACAAAAAGTATTACATTGGAATAAATTTTCAAAATCTATTTAAAAAAATTTAGTCAATTTTTAACTTCTTTTAAAAACTCTCTCAACCTCGCTCAGACGCAAATTAAAACCACACTGAGAACTACCAATTTTGGTATAGAACCCATGGCTCATACAAAAATTGGACGAAGGTACAGTTTCTATTACAGATTTATTTGATTTGTTCTCGTTACATTGCATTTCAAAATACTTTGTCAAAAACTGAAAATTTATAAAATATGTCATATGTTGATCACTAGCTCTTCGTTTACTCGTAATTTTACTGGACAAAGCTTCTCATCGTCGCAAACCACGGCCAAAATGTACGATCTTCTCCCATTCTGGGAGAGGACTATATGCGGACTCCTTGCAATGACAATGAGAGCTTCTTCACCAAAACTTTGGAAAATCTGAGGATTCACCTATAATAAAAGAATATTGTACATAGATTTCAAATTTAAAAAGGCGACCGCCTGCTGCTTCAGTACAAGTATTTTATTCATTTGATCGATCTATTTTGTCAATGAAAGTTAGAATTTTAAGAAAAAATTACCATCATATAGTAGCCTATCACTGAGTATACTATTCTTTAGACAACAAAGAGAATAAATACATTGTAATGGATTACAAAACTACATGTAGGCACGGCCTTTCCGTATGGTAGCAATGACAATGTCGATGGTGTTGGGGATCTTTCAAGCCCACAGTGCAGCAATGTGAATGAGATGGACTATGTTACAATACACATAGATGTAAGCGTAGTTGTGGACAGGGCATCTTTATATAACTAAATAGTTAGGTCTGTCTTTGTCATATTCGCACCAACCCTTACTCTGTACCGTTGGAAGTGTTGAACAGTTTATTTGTAAAAGTGAAAGTATACACTTTGATTCTTCGAAACCAGAAAAGAGATCAGTTATGTGATCATCAATATTGCAAATGGATATTGTGTAATGAAGCATATGTAGATAACGAACAGTATTCAATATCAAAGTCAAAAAAACAATACAAAATAGGAGCAGAGCAAACATGGACCTCCGAAATATCAGAGATAGAATCAGGTGCCATGGAGGAGTGAGCATCATTTGCTGACCGGTCACACCCGCCATGTGCTCCTTGTCATGATCGGGATATAACAGAAAAACCAGTCGTCAATTCAGTGTATAAATAATTGACTAAACAATTAGTATGAAAAACGTCAGTCAGCATTTGACTCAATGATAAATTGTATTTGCTGACAAGGTCGTTGTATCGATCATAGAACTCACGAAATGATGACTTTAAACGAGACTGCTGATATTCTTCTTTCATCAACTTGCTTGTCAATAATTTACCTCGTTTTAGAAATTGTTCATACTTAAATCATTTTTTTGCGTATCGATTCAACTGAGACATATACACTCCGTATGCAGGAGATGAAAATAAAAATCATCTTGTCTTCAAATAGAAAAGTAATTCATGAAGGTTTTAAAATAAATATTGTGCTTCTAAAGTTTATCATTGACTTTTTTGATAATGGAGCTTGATGTTCATTGCCGCAATGTATCATCGTTTGTAAGGAAATTTAATAAATGGGAATGCATCAAATTTTTTTTAATAAGTTAAATATCATTTCGACGAATGTCCTCCTTAAAAGGGGGCTATGAGTATAAATTGATTACCACTGCAGAATTCAATCCAAGTCCCTCTAAAACAAAATTAAAACACAGCCCCTGAGTCGGTGACTATTCACTTTACAATTTCGAAGAGGCACCCATCATACACATTATACTCACCAGAGCTCCTCTCTAAACTAAAGCATGAACCACCGACTTTGTAGTCATGGATTGGGACAAATTCTGTAGAAGGATAAATGCTTATTGCAACTATACTGAAATTTCATTAAGTAATGAAGATGATAAATAAAGAATACTTTAATGTTTCTGATTTTAAACCCTTACCTCGGGTCTCGGTGGATAATATTATTCAAAAACTTGTATTCGACTTTTTGAGTACATGAATGAAAATATTGCATGGTTTACTATTTCAAAGAAGAAAAATGAAAGTGTAGAAATGTAACAAACAACTCATGTCGCACTTCAAAAACAGCTAAAGATCACCTGAATAACTCACCTAACCTAAAAAAAAGCCCAAACGCCTGGTTAATGAAACATTGAGTAAGTAAAATAAAGTCTTAAACTAATTAAAAGAAAATTGTAATGTCATATTTTATGTAATCTTAGTCCTGTGAATTATAATAGAGTAGATATATAGATATAAATGTAGGCACCCAACAGTTCAAAGAGAGTTAACCGTGTTAAAGTTTCACAAAATAAACACTGAATGAGAAATTCATTAAAATCATTCCTGAACATAATCTTCCATTCCTTTAAAAAAAAATTACCAACCCCAACAAAATATGTTCGCGTGGGAGGATTGTTTTCTTTTGGTGGAAAAGTTCTTTAGTTTATCTTTTTGTTGACAAAGTAGCATTTTCTGATCAGATATTTATTTGATTAGTTTGGAACATTCTTGGAATATTTCTTGGGTCCGCCAATGAGACACTTGTAACAATGAGTCCAAAACTATGAATTCTTTTTACGTAAGTACTGTTCTCCACTATAATTCCTGGTTTTAAACAGGAAGATGTGTACAACAAATTAAATCTACTGTAAAGACATTAAATGATATTAAACAGCGGTATGCTTCACAGACATTGCATTTGATAACGTTAAAGGTTGTTTATATATGTAAAGGAATCTTTAAATCAAATCGATATTTATGGTATTTAAAATGTTTTTGAAACTTTTGAATGCTCAAAGATCTAGGTTATAATGGTAATAAAAGGGTTATAGAAATCTGTCAGCTGAGAGCTGACAAGGAAGAAAAATAACTGGAATTACTACAGCGGTTAAAACGTGTTATGTTGGGATATATTTATGAACTTGATTATTTCTTTAACAGAAATGAGTTCTGAGTGTTTTTCATAAACATGTTGAACTTTATCAGGGATTTACATAGACATTGTAGGATATAAGCAATCTTTATTTCACGGTATATTTTTGTTTTCAATTGACATACTCATATTTATGAAATGTTTAAAGTTCAATTTTGATATGGTTCATTTGATCTGTAATTTTATCATTGTACCGGTAAGAACAATTTTTTGCTGTTTCAGCATATCATTGAGGACAATAAGTGATCAAACTTATTCATTTTTAAATTTGTTTTTAAAGAAACGATTATGGAGAGAGGTGCACAGGAAGCGGTTCCAAGAGTTACTGCCTCTTCAAGAAAGAACTTTCAAGTGCGATTTCTTCTAAATAAAATCTTTATTGACTACAAAGACAAGCAATATATCAAGAAGAAAAGCATTACTGAACTGGGTACAAAGTTTTTGGAGAATGGTGTTCTCAATTTTGAACCGATAGAGTGGAATTTACTGAAAAACAAAACTAGAATAGAAATTTTCTCTAAATTACTTAACGATCCATCCAGTGTTGACGAAACTTTTAAGACAAGAGATGTTTGTATGGATTGGGTAAAAGGAATTAGCCATATAGGTATGTATGCTAAATTTTAAAGGAATTAAAATCGATGTTCTTTTCATGTACATGTGTCAGATAAATTTCATGAACAATCAAATAGAACAGCGAACTGGTTTATATACTTTTATATACTGTAAAAGTTTAGCAATCCTCTGTTGGGGTTTTTCAAATTTATCGTTTTATATCATACGAGAAGAACAAGGCAAAGAAACAATATATATGCCATGTAAGTACATACAATGTTTTTCAATACATGTAAAGATATAATCTTTGGGGCTAAATATGTACATTTACTCTTATATACTTTTAGATTATAGGGAATTCCTAGAAAAGGAGATTGAATTTGTGCTTAGTTGTCTTTGTGATACAAAGTCAGCTTTTCGGGTATCTGAAAAATGGTGTCAGGAAAATAATTTTAAAACCGAGGACAATCCAGACGTTACAGAAACAATATGTAAAGCAGTGGGATGGACAGACAAAAATTCCCTGGTATCAGATATAAAATATGAATTGGAAAGGGCAAGTAAATTAATACTTCTTTTAGTATAATCTAAAGATGTTGGTTATCTTAGGAGAGAGAGGGAGAGAGAGTACGAAAAATCTAATTACAACCATTCCTCTATATCTTTGTGTGTGACCCTATGTGTGTAAAAGCATATTTTATCATAACATATTTTGGAAAATGCACAATGCTTCTCAATTTTAGAAATATTTTTTAGAGGGCGGAGAAATATTGGACATATCAGGGAGACTGGGTGACCGCAACACTAAAAGTTTCTGAAGAAATTATGTTTAATCCAGTTTTGTTTGATTTATGTGCCACCAAATTTAATAAAAAAATATCTGTAATTGCCAATATGACATGTACAGGCAGTAGAGACATACCCGTCATATGTGAGTGTCGGATATATCCAAAGACAGACCTGCAAAGGGATACTTCAAATCTAACATTTATACGAAGGAACTATGAAAAATACGTGTATGCTGTCGAAGGTAACACACTTGATACTTTCCGATTACAATTCAAAGTATTTTTAATCTCATATCCATTAAACTGATGATACAATTTCTATTTTAAATGTTTATGGCTGCTTTGTTAATGTGTCAAGATATTTTTTTCAATACGAGTCAAAATAATTTAAACACGTAAAACAAACAAAAAAGCTAAGACATTGTGAGCCTTTTTTTATTACTGCATTTTATTATTTATATTCATATACTCAATTTCATATTATATTTTCATATAGAAATTGCATCAATCGATTTATCCAGACTACTAGATTCTTTGGATAAACTTCTTGGAACGAATGACGTAAAAAAGAAGGAAACCCGTTTGGAGATAGGTCGAATATCTAAAGAAGTGAAAGATTGCCTAAAACAAATGGAAACAAAGCACTGTAAACTTATGTCCGATAATGATGATGTGCATGAAAGCTTGCAAAAACTCGTTATAAACAATAACAAAGTGATAGAAGAAAAAGAAGGCCTCTTGCTTCAACTAAAATCAAAGTCTCAGAAGCAAGTAGATGAGGTCACAGAACTTCAGAAGAATGTACAGAAACTAACACTTGAAAATGAAAAATTGAAAAACACAGAAATAGTATCGCTAGAGAAAGAAATCAAATCTTTAAGGCAGCAAATTAAAAAATTAACTACACAGAATACCAACCTCAAATCAAAATTAGAAATGTATGAGGAGGAAATTGAAGAACAAAAGAGAAAGGAAAAAGAACAAGATGACAAACTTGCCCAACAAGATGTAAAACTTGCCCAACAAGATGAAAAAATAGCAAAGCAAGATAAAAAGATAGCGCAACAGAGTGATGAAATTAGAGCTCAAAGTAATATGATTAAAAATCAAGGTGAACGAATTTCAAACTTGGAGCATAAAATCGGAAGAAGTAGTAGTTCTAGTAGCACTCGGCAAATTGAAGTAAAAAGTACATCGTCAGGGTCTGTGAAATCTGTACCTCACAAATAGGGATCTTCTTTTTTTTTTTAAAGAAGACTCTTACTTATTGACTAGATAAACAATTTTAATTTGATGATATCAAGGCTTGTTCAGTTGGTTTTGTCAAAATAACAAAAAGTTAAACATGTATACATGTAATAGACTTTACAATGAACATCGCAGTGTTGAAAGACAGCTTGCTCATTTTTAGAAATAAATTTACAATTTTTTCTGAATAATCTTTTGTTTGTTTTAATATTAAAACATATATCTTAGTTTGTTCATGAGCAAAATTCTAAAAATATAAATCTCAGATACACCGAAGACAAAATAGTTTGTCATGTTTATCACATGTTTATCATCATCATCATCATCAAATTAAAATTTTCAAAATAAATATGACTAACTACTTCAGAACTTTATTTTTCAGAACTTTGATAACAACGTATAAACATACATCAATTTCTATGCCATTTAGTTTAAATTATCAAATTTCCTTCGTTTCCAAATAATATTAACTCAGCAAAGTTGTATAAATTATATATAAAATAAAATTCTACAATTTAATGAGAAATATTCCCTACCTACAGGGGACATCTAAAAGAATAGATAAAAAAGTTTATGATGACACGTTAAATTATTAAATACTAGTAGATGGTTCCGAAAAAAATGACAGTTAACAGTGGGATAATGCCTTTATTGGTTAAATTTTACAATGTACATTGTTAAATTGAAATTCTCGGTGAAGGGAATATATTCTTTATTACGAAATTCATTTAAAACATGCTCGAGTTACTTCTCTTTACATTCGACATTGCAGACGAAAAATGGGAAAACATAATTAACATCCTTTTACACCGAGTATACCCTTTCAATTAGGTGCAAGGTTGCAAACTTTTGATGTACACTCGGTGTATACTTTCCTTATATCAGATGGAGGTTGTATCATTGAATCCATTATGACGATAAAGTAAAAAAAGAACATTTCTCAAATGATTAATGTACTTGTTATAACGGATTGAGAATCACATCAAAGTTGTTTTTATATCAACTTTTATACAATCAAATGATTTTTCAAAATATGTTTCAAATATTTAGTCAATTCTTAACTTCTTTTTAAAAAATTTTTATCAACCTTACTCAGACACAAATTAAAACTACCAATTTTGGTATAGAACCAACGGCTCATACAAAAATTGAACGAATGTACAGTATCTATTACGGATATTTGAGTGTTCTAGCTACATTGTATTTCAAAATGCTTTGTCAAAAACTGTGTTTACTACTAATTTTACTGGACAGAGCATCTATACCAAAACTTTGGAAAATCTGAATTGAAAATCTTCTGATGTTGTCTACGGAATAGAGTGTACCCTCCGTGGGCCTAATTATGTTGGTGAAACCAAGGTCTCACTCAATAGAAGAATATCGGACAGAGATTTCAAATAGCATTTTAATGTATTTGAATAGTCTATTTTGTCAATGAAAGTTTGAATTCTAGAAATGATTTACCATTACTTACATGTAGTTCACCTTTCTGTATACAACAGGAAGAATAATGGATTAGAAAACTAGGGTCAGCCTTTCCCTATGGATGCAATGACAATGTCGATAGTGTTTGGATCTTTGAAGCCCACAGCGTAGCAGTGTGAATGGGATGGGACAGTACACAAGGACGAAAGCGTAGCCATGGACTTCTTTCTTACAATAAACCTATTACACAAAATATTTCCTAACTGAATCACAACTATAGTACTTCTTTACACAAATAAACAGTTAGGTCTTTACTCAGTCTACCTCAATGAAGGTTTTGAACAGTTTATTTGTAAGAGTCAAGGAAAGTCTATATTTGTATTTTTCGACACCAGAAGGCTCAATTCTGTGATTATGATCAGTTACACTCGTGATATAACGGATTTACGGATATAACAACGGGTTCTTTTTAATCACAGGTAAAATTCTTAGTAATTCTTTGTAAACGTTTACGGATATGAATAATTGATTTATTGTGACCCTAGAGGTTAAAATAATAAATTTAATTCTTTTTTTATAACGAACTTTCAAAGATCTCAACAGTAGACATTTATCAGATATTTCTGTGAGTAAATACATGTATAAATAGATATACTCAGTATTTAAATTTCAATTTATCCGAAAACTTTTGATCTCCAAAGTGACTTAAGTACATGTATTTAATACTTACCGAATACAATTAAGAGTCATAATTGAAGAAAAGAAATAATACTGCGAATTCGTTATAGATACTTTAACGAATAACAAATTACGCAGGTCCCCAGGACTTTCCTATAATCGAGTTTTACTGTGTAAGAGGGCCAACGTTTAGAAACCCAGATTCTTCAACTGGCGTCATAATTTTATAAATACTTGTACTGTGGTTTTATTTATTAAATGTTATAGGCAATATATAAATGTTAAGAGATTTTGCAAAATGATGATTTTATCAAAAATATCAAATGGACGTAAAAATCTTGCAATAATTAAGATGTAAAAACCATCTATCCTTCTGTCCCTCTCACATTTAGCATTTTTTTTATCTGAACATAATTATTTAGAATATAACATGCTCTAGAGTACAAAATTGGTGGAGAGAATTTAATTTCATAGGCAGGTGGCAATGGAATAACGAATAATACTTCATAAAAAAATTAAAGACAAAATAGCTGCTGGCTTCTTTTTCTTTTACGGTTTAGATGCTAGTTGACCATTTATGTCTATTGTCAGTAAAACTTTACGCAAAAATGATACAGAGAAAGCCACAGTAAGAACTTTTTTCTTCTGTTAAATTTTTAAAAATAAATTCTGCTTCTCAAGAGTATAAAACTACATGTAGGTCGGCTGATACATCTGTTTAATTAAATTATACATGCTAGAATCGCACACTAAAAGATTGGGATATGAAACCATCTATTCTTCTGTATCCAATAATCCAGAAGTGAAGAAAGAATTAGATCACATGACCAGTAGGTACTGGTCCTTGCTGACAAAGCAGATAACAACATTTTCTTTGTTTGTAAGGATCATTATATAAATTGTATTCAAGAGGAACTTGGATTTAATTCTACGAGTGGTAATCCAACTTATACTCATAGTTCCCTTTCTAAGGAAGAAATTCTTCAAAATTATATGTCAGTTTTGGATATTTTTAGTAATCCAAAGAACCAAAATGAATTTGATTTACCATATCTATATTCATTCCGAAACTTCATAAAAATCTTTACAAAGATAAAACGGATTCCAGTAAATGTTCAATCAAGCCTCTTTCTTTACTCCTCATAGTAGTGATGGAGAATCTTCAAGACTACTATGGGACAATATATTCGAGAAGAGGTGTAAATCAGATGTATACAGCTGTATGCTTAAAATTCCAAGGGACTTTTTGAAAAATTGAAATCACAAGATTTTATCAAAATCATCATCTTAAAAACTTACGACTTTTCAACTTTATACACAACCATTCCTCACGATAAGTTAAAGTCCATGTTTTTCGATATCATTGACAGCTGCTTTTTCAAAAAAGAATGAAAGTCATAAATTGACTTTCCTTGTCATTGGTCATTTACAAAAATTTTTTGTTAAAAAAATTCTGATTGTACACACAGGTACTCTGAAGTTGACATCAAAAAGATACATGTAGTTGTTTCTGATTGACAATATCTATGTGGTTTTTGGAGGCCAGTGGCCTGTCTCATAAAGAAACTTACGACTAAGACTAAAATTTTCCCCCATTCTACAAACATATGTAAATGAGAAAATCTTATTTTTTCTATTTTTACTATTTAAATGTTTTATGATTAAATTCTGATTAATTATTTAGAAAAATATGTCTCCATTGAATAAAAAAATACAGAATGGTGAAATTTTAGTCTATATAGAAAGATTTTTTGGTGAAAAACGCCACAGGTCTTCCAACAATCTTTAAGAATTCCAATGCATATGGGTGCCAGTTGCGCCCCGTTGTTAGCAGAGACCTATTTTTGTATTCACATGAAGCAATATGTAGCATAATTTGTCCAAAATTGTATACGTGAAAAGAAGAAAATATATGCTGTGCCTTCAACTCGACATGTAGATATATCGATGACGTATTCAAAAATGGTTATTTTCATTCCTATGTCGATACGATATATCCTTGACAGCTTTTTTTAAAAATACCACAGAGTCTGATTTATCTGTTCCATATTTTGATATTTTACTTGAAAAAAAAACTTTATGGTAATCTAACAACCAATCTTTATGATAAACATGATGACTAACTTTTCAATCGTCAACTTCCCTTACTTATGCAGCAATATATGTATACAAGTACTTCCATTACCTACATACGGGGTTTATATCTCTCCGTTGATTCGGTACGCAAGAGCATGCTCAACTTATGTACAATTTCTAATACGAGGTAAATTATTACTAAACAAGTTGATGAAACAAGAATATCAGCAGTCGCATTTAAAGTCATCATTTCGTAAGTTCTATGGTCAATGCAATGACATTGTCAGCAAATACAATTTATCTTGGAGTCAATTAAATGCTGACTGACGTTTTTCATACTTATAATTAGGGCATTTTTTATACAATGAATTGATGACGGATTTTTCTGTTATTTCTCGATCATGACAAGGAACACACGGCGGGTGTGAACGGTCGAAAGGGGATACTCGCTCCTCCATGGCATCTGATCCCGCCTCTGATAATTTGGAATTTATAAAATTGCTGTTTGCTCCGCTCCTGTTTTGTATTAATTTGTGGACTTTTGAGCTTGAATACTGGTCGTTATCTCCATATATTTCATTACATACGTACATGTGTCTTTAATTAATTTGGCGATAAGTTCAAATGCATGTTTGTTTTATTTATTTTTTTAAAAAGGGCAATTATTTGAATAAACTATATCTATTTGGCCTTGCATTTTGTATTACAGAACTGCATTTATTTTCGATTATTTATTATTTTGTAAAAAAAAAAAAAAAAATACAGAGGGTAATTATAGTCAATGTCTGAATACATGTGTAAATATCGCTTAAATCAAAATCCAAAATGCTATACATGTATGGCACGCCAAATTCACAAAAATGAGATAATCATAGTTTCACAATCGATAAACTAGGTTTATCGGTTGCGATAAACTAGGTTTATCGGTTGTAAACT